TAGACTCTAAATCTTTTGGCTGCATAGGATGAAGATTGGGAAGTTAGTGGACTGAACATCTCTTCTTTTGGCTTTACATTTTTTTTCCAGTTATTACTGTTAGTTTTTCAACTGATTGACTTTGTAATCTTAGAAAACAAGGTTCTATTTTTTTTTTTTTATCTTATGAACTATGGGCAGCCTCTTTTCTCTCCCCATCGAGTAAGAGAGGAGTTTATCTTCTTCACCACATCCTATGTTTCTCCTGCCCCTGCTCTCTTGTATCAATACTTGATCATTATTTCCACTTCTCAAGGGTTGTGATATTCATGTTCTACTGGTCAGTATAAGTGAGTCTCACACAATTTTATTTCCATATTATGCCATATAAACATTATTAATTATAGTATAATGCAATTATATAGTTTACTATGGTGTATTAGGATTTATTGAGAAAGAAATTACATTCCATCTGAAATACAACTTCCAATAATTTTTTTTTCACAAAAGAGCATGTGGAAAATATTCAAAAAATGACTCATGTGAATAGAAAATAAGCATGTGTCAAAGATTTTATTCAATGTATGACTTAATGAAAAAAAAAGCAGGAAAAATTGAAAACTGGTCCAAAAAGCACGGAAGAAGCTACGTATATAAAAACAATTCGACAGTGCTAGAATAAGACACTGGCTTACATACATAAGTGGTTAATGTCCAGTGGGGTCATAAACAATGCAGGGGTTATTTAAATCTCTCAGATAAAGCCAGATGCAGGTGCCTCATGCCTGTAATCCTTGCTACTTGGGAAGTTGAGGCAGGAGCATCATAAGTTTGAAGTCAGCCTTGGTAACTAAGAAAAACCCTGCCTCAAAATAAAAATTTTAAAGGGCTGGGGATATAGCTCAGTGGTAGAGCATCCCTGGGTTCAAAGCATTTTGTACTGCAAAAAAATAAAAATAAAATAAAATAAAATGCCTCTACTGAGTCAGCTTAAGAAGTTAAACCCAGTATGCAATTAAAAAAAACCATCCAGCTATATTTTTATTTAATTCAAAGTTTTAAATCACGGGTCTTACATAATTAAATGAAGTACTTGCATATTTATTATATAAACATGTCATTATTTTGCCTTTACATTTGGATTAAATTTGGGTGGATTTAAGAGTCTAGATTTAAACTAGTTTTTCTGAAGTCACTGAAGGTGCTGCTCCCTTGTCCCTGGTGTGCATTGTTGATAATGAGAAGTGAATTGGCAGTCTGTTAGTCCTACCCTATAGCTGACTTTTCTCTCAAGAATTTAGGCTCACCCCTCACTTCTGAGACGCCAACATGTTATAAGTCCTGTTCTAAAAATGACTCTTTCCATTAATCCTCTTTAGCACTAAATGGACACTATCAATCATTATCTGTTGAAGAAAATTTCCTCTTCTACTTCCTTGATTATAATGTCTTCCATGTTGTCTCTCGATGTCCAACTGGACAGATGTTGGACTTGGAGACCAGCCCTCAATATACTTCAACTTTTAACTCTTCTCTCACATCTTTATTCATCAACATTCTAGGAAATATCCTCTACTTTAACCTCCATTCCTTCTGTTAAATTCTTGCTTTGTCAAATTTGACAAAACTCCTAACTCTAGAGCACTAGCTTAAAAAAAAAAGTAGGTTGCTATTGTTGTAGGGCCTATTATTTTCTCAAATTTCTCTAATGCTATTAATTGGAATTTTAAACCTGGTATTTTGTTTCTGAATTATTTATTTTCTCTGGAAAAATGTTCTTTTTGTTCATTTTTTATTTTTTGTGTGCTATTATTAATGTGCAATTCATTTTCTTCAAGTTGTCACATTCTTGGTGGCTCATTTACATTTCTGAATAAAGGATGAGAATGGTCAATGTTGGCAGATGGTATGGATTTTCCTCCCATGACACCTCTCCCTACCTGGACAGAGGGACACTGGTGGTGACATCTCTCTTTTTTTTTTTCCTCGTGGTACTGGGAATCAAACCCAGGGCTTCTCACATACCAGGCAAGTGCTCTACCAATGAGCTACACAGTGACGCCTCTGTGTCAAGGATGAGGCTTCAATGTGTGTTGCAAAGACAGGAAGTGGGTGATTGGACTGGATTCTTTGTCTACACTGGTCATTTGCCTTCTTTAAAGATCCTGATTTGACTTGGGGCACACACTGGATGGAAGAGATGCCAAGTGACAGACTTTCAATTAATGACCCCAGTTACCCACTCATTCCTGTGACCTTTAGGCTTGGGGTCTCTGGGACTTTACAGAGAAGAAGGCATCCTTTCACAGCTGCAGCCTGATTCTGTGAGTGTGGTGGAGGCTGCGGACTCCTCCCTTCTGAGTTACCCACCCACTCCAAGCCTTACTTGCCACTTTCAGAAAGCCACCAGTCTTTGGTTTGCTGGTGGTTCCAAGCGTCCAGTTTGCTAGGCATATTCAGCTTGACCTCATTGTCTATTTTCTCACTGTCATTTCCGTGGAATTTGAAAGAGGAAGATTGGTGGGTGTAGGGCCTCATGCTAAACTGGAACTTTCGTAGCATTTTAAAACAGAATTCACTGCTACCGGCAAGGGTGTCTTGTCTCCTTATGTATTCAGAATGAATAAGAATCACTCCACTCTATTATAATATGGTTCCCTCCAAAGACTTCAAGTAGGTAGGGGTATTTGGTCTTAAACTATTACTGCTTTTAAAGTGCTTGTGATTTTGATTTTCTTCTTTTTATCCTCATTTTTCCTTTATTGCCACTCTCATGGTGCTCCCTGTAATATAGGTTCCTCTTCTAACCACCTACTTCTATTACACACAGTAGCTTATCCACAAAACAAGTCAATAAATTTTAGAATGTTTTGAGCAACAAGTGTGAGTTTTAGGGCATCAATTTTTTGGGGGCGGGTATCGGGGATTGAACCCAGGGGCATTCAACCACTGAGCTACATCCCCAGCCCTATTTTATATTTTATTTAGAGTCAGGGTCTCACTGAGTTGCTTAGCGCCTCACCCTTGCTGAGGTTGTTTTTGAACTGGTGACCCTCCTGTTTTCAGTAGGGCATGAATTTTTAACCTCACTGATTTGGATCTGTCTTCAAATAATTGAAAGATCCCAGCTAACGTGAACTCTAGAAAGGACTTACAGACTTATTACTTTCATTAGAATATTGCTTCAATTCCTAGTACTAATGTTAATCTTTTGCTTGATATATTTGTTTTACTATTTTTCTCTTAGCCATCATCATTATGGAAGAATCATAGTTCACTAAAAGTTAAGTTTTTTTTTTTTTCACATTGAGACCACTTACAGTCAAGATCCAATGTTACACTTAAGTTGTTGATAGTCAACTATTTGTTTACTAATAAGGATTCATTAGCAAATGAGCCAATTGTCCTTCCCTCTCTTTAGTTTTAACACACATAATGTTAACCCCCAAAGAAACGCAAAATGGAAAGAACAATGCTGTAGGACTCCGAACGATCATTTTATAGAAATAACATTTATTTTATGTTGTGGATGCGAATTTTAGTAACAAACTCGTTGAAGTCTATTTCGTAGGACTCTGTCTCCAAAGCACAAACTAGTTCAGCTACTCAAGATAAAACACATTATTTATGAAGACATGATATTTCAAAATGCCACAGGAGAGAAACATGCCAAGAGGTAACACACTTGTTTAATTTCATTAGTTACATATGAACTGCTAGGAAAGCCACGATTTTAGGTGTTTTATAAGATTTGCTAAGATGTGCAAGTGCAGTGATGGTTATGGTTGTGAACATATTCTAGGTGAATGTCCCAGGAAAGGACCATCTCTGAAGGCCCATTAACCTCACACCACAAATCTAGAATGACAAAAGGTTTATGCTGGGGTTCATCAGGACTGAGAAGCAAACACCATCTCTGCTTGGGGACTCTTTTCTAGCAAGAAATTAGAGGGGTTCCATGACTGATAACCTGGCGAGAGAATCCAAGATGAAGCTCCTAGTGATTTTAAGTAAGGAAGCACTGTCAGGGAATAAAGGTTTATATCCAGTGGTCAGCGGGATTGGAAAGAGCAGGCGTATCAGAAGAGAAGACACCTCTCTCTTGACAGCTTAAGTGTGGTATTGTGGGCTGGAAATTGTTAATATACCAATCCCTGAAGACAAGTTAAGTGCTTAGCAGTGGTTTGGCAAAGTAAAGTAGTAACTAAGTAATTGAGACTTGCAGGACTTTTATTCTGTTATATCAATACCAATCTGGTTTTGGTCTGATGATTATAGCAATATAGATCTAGTAATGAGATAAATGATTTGGATCCAACTCAATATAGTCATTCAATGGAAATTTTGGTTCAGAAATTTTTGGAAGCAGACATATTCCTGAGTCATATGTCTGGTTTCAAAAAGGAGACAACAACCCTACAAGATAGGAAAAATAGATTATACTTACCTAGTGGTCTTCTTTCTCTTTGTCATGGAAATCTGTCTTGAGGGAAAGAGACAGACACAAAATTTTAAATGGAAAAGGCCATAGAATCCTTCATTTCCATGGACTTCTGAGGCCTAGTTAATTGGAGTTCAGTTTGTTTTATCAGTCAAATATTTTCTATGTTTCACATCTTTGATGCTATGAGAATAGCCAATAAGATTAATTCTAGTTTTCTAGATCACATGAACTGGAATCTTACCAGTTTCTCCAGGCAACACATAATATCAGGTAGATGCTAGTGAAGAAATGATTAATACTTTCAGAGTCTGGGTGGGGGGGGGACTCAAAGCTAATCTTTTTCCTATTTTATAACAGCTATTGAATGGCATCTAGCTGTTTTTATCTTTTCAGCTTTAAGGAATTAAAACTCTTTGGTTGTATAAGGGAATGTGAAGTTGAATGAGTCAATATGGGGCTGTTTTTATCCTGTGGTCACCATTTGCTGAATCTTTAGTATGAAATGCTGTATAAAGGCAAGAAGAACAATGGTTCAGTTTATACTTGTTGAACATGTCACACAAGGTCATCTCTGAATTTAGCATGAAGCACGTCTTCCAGAGAACCCAGATTGTTTTCACATCACCTGTGATTCCGATGGTGCTGGTGGCTTCTCTTCCTTCTTGGGGGCGGTGATTAGTTTAATGCTAGTCACTCTCCAGAGATGAACTATGACCTCATGAACCATCACCTGCACAAAGGTCAGGTCAGCTGTGTGTTTGTGTGTCATGAGATTGGAGTGCATGTTCAAGACACCAGCCTGTTATAAGTCCCCCTACCATATGTGAGTGGTTATGGGATCAACTTACAAGACTGTTTGCTTATACTCCTCTGAGATTTGGCCCTGTTTATTTGGAGTTAGGTGGGAATTTTCCAGCAGTTCATAGGCATCCTGCATGTTGGGGAGACTCTGTCCCATGTCCCTGGTAACCTTATGGATCTGAACACCAGTGCTGTTCTTTGGACAAACTCTCTGGTCCTGGTATGCCTGAGCCTGGCGTTTACAGATGCCAAACTTGCTGAGCAGGATGAACACATCTCTCTGGAAAGCCTTGGTGAAAATGGCATAGAGGAATGGGTTGGCACAGGAGTTCAGTGGATAGAAGAGAACCAGCAAGATTTTGGAGTTGGTGACAGTGATGAGAGGCTTGTTCATAAGTGCCGACAGGGCATAGAAGGAGATTGGCGCCATGCACATGAAGTCGGTGAAGATCAGCACAGCCATCCTTTTGGCAATTTTGGTGTCTTTGTCTCCAGGGTTGTACTGGGGATTTCGAACCGTGATGTAGATCTTCACGTAGCAGGAGCACACGATGATGAAGGCCACGATATTGAGCAACAGAACAAGAACAATGTACGCCAGAGCAAGAGGGGTCTCAGTGTCCATGGGCAGGCAGATGCTGACCTTGGCATAGCTACTTATTCCCACCAGAGGGAGCAGGGCAAGCAGGAAGCAGCAAACCCAGCCGCCAACCATGATGACATAGGCATGCCTGAGGCGGATCTTCCGGTCCAGGCGCATGGCAAAGGTGATGGCATACCAGCGCTCCAGGGTAATGACCGTCAGTGTGTACACGGACAACTCGCTGGCAAAGACAGTGAAGAAACCAGCTGTGTTGCACCCAGCACCTGTCTGCCAGTCGATGGCATGGTTGTAGTACTCAGAGTGCGTGTAGAGGTCCACAGAGGCAATGAGAAGCAGGTATATCCCCATGCAGAAATCTGCAAAGGCCAAGTTGCACATCAGAAAGCGTGGGACGGTCAGCTTGTAGTGGCTGGTGAGGATAATGAACAGGACAAAGATATTGCCCAGAAGAGCCAGCAGACTAACAAACCACACCACGATTCTCAGGAACTTGTAGCCCATTATGTCTTCACAGGGGTTGAACTCGTCTGACTTGGGGGTACACACCATGTCTTCATTGTCCCCGCACACAGTGTAGTCATAATGGCTGTCAAAGGCTTGTAAAGTCTCTTCTTGGGCATTTTTGAGCTCCTGGCCAAAACCAATGATCTCATCCTCTTGCTCTTCAAAGAAGACATAATAATGGGAGTTGCTGTGTATATCCTGGAACTTGGAGTTTGGCTTGTATTCAACATTGCTATCACCCGAATCTTCTTCATATTCCTGGTAGATGGGACCATTCACAGATTTTCTGTGACGCAGACTCCGGATACTGCTCTCATTACACATCAAGGACTCAAGGATTCTGCAAGGCAGCAGAAAAATGAGTTGCAGAAAAAATATTTGCTTAATATCAGGAGACCCACAACACCCAAGATGTCAGTGCTTATGATAATGTACATGATTCTACAAGATTTTACATGATCTGGCCAGGATTGTCTCTCCTACACCATTTCCTTTACTCCCTACCTTTCCTACTGTGATCCAGTGACATTGCTCTTATTTCTCCTCTATAACCACTTCAAGCACAGCAATAATAAAAAAGCATGATATTTATCTAGTCTATGTAGGTCAGAACCTGGCTCTACAGTTCCAGCTGTTTTCCCTGGAGCAGGTCTAAGAACCTTGGCTTATTCACTTGGATTGTGGGTTAATGAGATATTTCACATAGTTTATTAAAGGAGTAGATCAGTATTTTTTAAAGCTCTTACAACAGCACCTGCAATATTGGGAGTGCATATATATGTTGGATATTGTTATTTGTTGTTATTATTATTCCCACCGAGAGCTCTAGAATTCCATATCCCCTTTGCCTGAAGACTGGTGGCTGCCTTGACTCATTATTCAATATTGAACTCAAATGTCCCTTTCTCAGAGGAGTCTTCCCTGATCTCCTTACAACAAAAGGAATTTACCTTGCTTCAGCTGCTGATCAGGTTTTGATTCACCTAATGAGATCTGGTTAAAATGTCCAGTGGGGGCTGGGGCTGTAGCTCAGTGGTAGGGCACCTGCCCCTCACATGTGAGGCACTGGGTACGATCCTCAGCACCATATAAAAATAAATAAATAAAGATATTGTGTTCATCTACAACCAAAAAAACAAAAACAAAAACAAAAAACCAAAAAAACGTCCAATGGGCTAGCACTTCTATCCAGTTGGGAGGTTAAGGAGAAGCCTGGATCCTTTCCATCCCTCCCTGGTCCTTTCCTACTTAGTGCCACATGGAGTCAGTATAGTCTGCTGCTTCCATCCTCTTGCCCCACTTCTAGTTTTCTGCAGCCATTACACCTGTTGCACAGTCGTTTAACTTGCCACTTTGCTTCTGCCCCCAAAACTAGATCCCAATTCTTTTCTGAGTACAAATATGAGTGTAGAAAGTCAACTTGCAGACACTTACAGAGAAGCTGAGGGGGACTGAATAAGAGATTAATGAAGGTGGACTTAGGAGAACAGGTACAAGACATAAAGCATTTTAAGACAAGCGGGGATAACACAGCTAGAAACTGGCAGGGCTGGGATACAAGCTGAGCCGATTCTAAAATGATATACATGCAACCAGCAAGTTATGACACGTGCAAGGTCCTGACGGATCAGGTAGTCCAATTGCATGTGTTGTTGGCAAGTGTGTCCTTGTGGTTGTGGTGTCGTTTATGTGTTGCATCTGGAGGCCAGAAGTCATGTCTTGTAACCTCTTACAAGGTGCTACATGACCTGGTCACACCTGTCCCCACTAGGCCATCTTTGACTAAACCTCACCTCGGCTATTACTATTCAGAGACACTGACTTTCTTTCTTGTCCGCAACCACACGGCATCTTCAGGGTTATTGTGCTCCTAGATTTCCTGTTCATACAGATGCTTCCAATTCTTTTCCACCTGCTTTTCAAACCACAGAGATTCTTCCCCAAACCCAGAAATTAACGCAGCCTCTACCATGGCCCCTCATCACTTTCTGGGTCCCTACCACTTACCCTCTGATTTTCTTCTGATTCTTAAAAGCACAGCAGTGGCTGGGATAAGAAAGGTCAGCCCGTGTGAGGTGAAGGAAGCTCAAGGAAAGTGGAAGTTTCTTAAGAGTCCAAGTGTTTCTTGCTATCAGTTCCTTCAGGTGCTCCAGGCCTTTGGACGGCAGGGCAGTAACACTGGTGTAAGACACGTCCCTGGAACACAGAGAACAGAACAACACAGAGAGGCAGTGAGCAGCCAAGGTCTTCTATATTTGGCCAGAAGATCAAACAGACCCCAGATCAACAAGGAGCTCCTTTTAGCTACTGAATATGTAACTGACTTCTTTACATAGACTCCCTGGTCCAAGGAGGGGTATTAGGCTTCTACATCAATATGTCATAGCAATTCCCATTTTTATTGCTGGAAATTTTGGAATCCACCAACACAAATACTATTTCTGCAGACATTTTATTCTATCCCCCAGAATATGTGAGAGCTCTTGGAATCAGAGATGGGTGTCAAGTTTACTCAGCAAAATGATACCAGGCAACTATTAAATGGCCTCAAGAGGCAAGAGAAATAAAATTGAACAGGCTTAACGGGACCTAAATTGTTACGAGTCTCTGTGAGAGTTTTGGACTGATCTAGGTCAACAACAGTATGGTGAAAATGATTATAATAATGTGGAACTTGAAAGTCCTAGCCAGTTACATTATGAATTCATGACTAAGACCAATGCCCCCCCCCCCCCCCCCCCCCCCCCCCCCCCCCCGCCCAGTTTCTTTAGAAGACTGTAATGTATACGTATAAAGACAATGAGAAATTAGATTAAAATCACTTTCACAAACTATGGGAGGGAGAAGTGGTGGAGGCTGGAAATTGTGTAATAATGTTAATTACTAAAGTAGATGGCCTTTAATTGACAATCTCTGTTCTCTCAATCCAGAGAGTCCACGTTATATGTCTTGCTCTATCATTTTTTACTAGGACTAGATAATTGATTGAATAAAACCATGAATATTTAACCTAGCATCCCTCTTATTTTATATTTTATAAATGAAAATATTTGCTAAGCATTCCTTATGGAAAGCCTTTACATTTTTAAATGTAACATAATTAGTAGTTTCTGATTAGCAAATGAATTCTAATATTTTCAGCTTCTTTCTGCACATGATTATAATAGGGCTTAGGTGGGATTTAAATTTTCAAGGTCCAAGGTTTCCAGAACTTTCTACTATTTTGTTGTTGTTGTTGTTTATTTGTATGAACACAAAGCTCACAAATTAATCCCATTATCCTTGCAGAATCGTGACTCTTGTGGGGCAAGGTTACACATTTGCTATCTTGGTTTGTATTTGACATAAAATTCTATCATTTAGTATTTTCCAAACTTGCCTGGTGGTAAGCATGACTTGTGGTGTTTATTACTATGTGATCTCTAGGTGATTTCTAACATTAGGCAAATAAATTTGGGATTTACAGTTAGTGAGAGAGCTGTTGGAGGGGTTTTGGAGCTGGTCTCTAGTACAGCTGTGGAGTAAGTCAAGCTGGATTTCATTCTGCTGCCTCATCTACTCTTTAAGCAATGTTGACTTCAAGGTATGGCCATATTTTTGCCTCCAGTTTTCTGGAAGCTACATTTATATATCTCTTTGTCCCATGGTGCTTTCAGGTCAATGAGAAAAGAAAACATATCTTAGCTCATTCTCCCTGCCTTGCTATTTGCTAGATACACTGCTTACATGTTATCTGAAAGAATTTATCCTTCCAAGGAGTGTTTGCATTTTAGTAGATATTCCTGGAGAAAACTTTCAGTTATTGCATTGCAAAATATTCCAAAATTGTAAAGTTGTAAAGTTTCAGTTACTGCATTGCAAAACACTCCAAAACGAAGTGGCATGAAACCATAACATTTTTATTATAAGAATAACTTTTGTGGCAGGGTGTGGTGTTTCACACCTGTAATTCCAGCATCTCAGGAGGCTGAGACAGGAAAATCACAAGTTCAAAGCCAGCCTCAGCAAAGGTGAGGTGCTGAGCAACTCAGCAAGACCCAATCTCTAAATAAAATACAAAGTATGGCTGGGCATGTGGCTCAGTGGTTTAGTACCCCTGAATTCAATCCCTGGTACTCCCCTCCCCCCCCCCCCCCCCCCCCCCACCAAAAGAATAGCTTTTGTGGATCAGGAATGTGAATAGGGCATGGTGGGGATGCGGTGTCTCTGCTCAGCTGGGAAGACCTGAAGTCTGAGGTGACTGTGAGAAATAGAAAATCTGGTGGTTTATTTTCAGAATATAGTCTTCAGCCTTAATTGGATCCAATTGTGTAGCCATTTTAATTATAGCCTTTCTCTTTGCCTGCCCCAATTTTAAAGTTAGCCAATCACATAGACTGTAACCCTGAGCTCCTCCAATCAGGATGAAGGGCAGTGCCCCATTAGGGATATAAGCAGCCAGGGACTACCTGGGACAGGCACACTTGCTAACCTGGCTCCCAGCCTCGTTCTGTAGCTCACCCTTCTGGCAGAAGTAAAGTTTACCTTACTGTATGGTTTGGATGTATGATGTCCCCCAAAAGCTCACATGTGAGACAATGCAAGAAGGTTCTGAGAAAAAAATGACTGAGTTAGGAGAGCCTGAATTAATCACCCGGTGGGATTAACTGTGTGGTAACTGAAGGCAGGTGGGGTGTAGTTGGAGGAGGTGGGTATTGGAGGCGTGGCTTTGGGGTATATATTTGTTTCTGGTGCATGGAGTCTCTCTCTCTGCTTTCTAATCACCATGATGTCAGCTGCTTTCCTCTGCCACACTCTCTAGCTGTGATGTTCAGCCTCACCTCCGGTCCTGAGAAATGGTGCCTGTCTTCTATGGATAGAGACCTCTGAAACTGTGAGCTCTCAAAACTTTTCTCCTCTATAATTGTGCTGGTTGGGTCACAGCAGCAAAAAGGCTGACTAAAACACATGCCCACCCACTTTTAAGCATGTGTTTGATTTCTGGCGGCACCTCAGTATTTCTAACAGTGACCTGATGGCTGGAGGCTGGAGTGACCTACAGGCTCCTTCCTTGGCATGTCAGAGGAGCAGACTCAAAGGCAGAGCTCATAGCTGCTCCATATGGCTTGGGCTTCTCAGGTATAGCAGATTCTAAAAGAACTAGTGAATTCAAGGGCAGGGGATATAGAACCCACCTCTTAATGGAAGGCATGTCAAAGAATTTGGTGCCTTATTGTGATCTAACTTGTGGAAATATCACTGAGGCAGATATTTGTGGGAGAAACTGGTAGGTTACCATTTTGAAAATCAGCATTTAGGGTCCAAGCACTACCCTGGACCCCAGCATCAGAATCATCTGCGTTACAGACTCAGCCACATCCCCAAACAAATGAATTAAATAATCTCTTATGGTGGAGCTCAGGAGTCTGTATTAGGTAAGATGCTCCATAGAGTTCATTTAGAAGCACCTCTCATTTCTTAAAACATTTTTTTTAATGAAGAAGGCAGATACGAAAATTTAGACAAAGAAACAAGGCATGTTGGTTCCAAATGAAGCAAGAATTTAAAGACAAGCTATCAGTGGAGGCCTGCCCTGGGAGATTGGAATGTTAATGCCTCCAGAGACCTGATACTCCATCTGCCCCCCCCCCCCCCAAAAAAAAAAAGAATAGCTTTTTGGATCAGGAATATGAACAGGGCATGGTGGGGATGCGGTGTCTCTGCTCTGTGATGTGTGAGGCTCAGCTTGGAAGACCTGGAGACTACCTGGATATACTATATTCATCAAGATTACCCCTACCCCCACCCCTCTCTCATTCTCTCCCATTTCTGATCACCATGTGAGCTGCTTCCCACTGTCACACTCTTCCTCCATGATATTCAGCTTCACTAGAGGAATGGATCCAGCTGCTTATGGACTGACACCTCTAAAACTGTGAGCCCTTAAATAAACTTCTCCTCTTCTACAGTTGTTTTGATCAGGTCCTTTAGTCACAGCAGCAAAAAAGCTGACTAAAACACATCCACTCTTTTTTAAAAAAATTTTTTTTTAATATTTATTTTTCAGTTTTCAGTGGACACAACATCTTTATTTTATTTTTATGTGGTGCTGAGGATCGAACCAGAGCCCCGCGCATGCCAGGCGAGCGCGTTACTGCTTGAGCCATATCCCCAGCCTCACTCTTTATACTATATTTCTCAAGGTCCTGCAGGTCTGGCCCTTGACTAGCTCTCCAACCTCATCTCAGGGACCTGCTGTAACTCTGAGTATCCATTAAGCCTATTGCTGCTAAAGTGATCCTGTTTACTTCCTGATGCAGGTTGCTCTCCTTGTACTACTTTACATTTACAGGGTCAAGCAAGCAACTACTATCCTTTTATTTTCTTGTTGAAAATTTATCTTCTCTTACACTTTTAAAAAGACATTCTGGGTGATATCAGAAAGGAAAGCAGAAGCCCCTTTATATTACCCAGTAGATGTAGCATTTCCTCTCCACTCAAAATATCCCCAATGGAATGAATCTTCCCTCTAAACCTATTGATATACTTTATTTCCTATCTTCTATCCACCACATCTCAGGATTTGAAGCTTCAGTGTCCTCATGGAGTCTTTCTTGACCTTGTCTTAGATTCATGCTGTAAAAATCTATAGTAAAATGCAATTGTGCTCTCCCCACCCATCAGATGCCAGCTTAGCTGGTTCTCATTGCTACGGTTTTAGTTTGAGTCTGAATTACTTTTCACCCAAACCTTGCAAAAATTCCAAGATGGTGCCAGAAATATCTTTTATTAATCCCACCTTCAAACTTAGTACAGATGTTCTTTCTAAAACATGATCTCATTGTTTTGCTCACCAGCTTGAAACCCCCTGCTTGCTCCAATGTCTACAGAATGAAATTTGAGCTTCTTAGACTACTTCTCCTTTCCCCACTAGGGGTACCTTCCTGAATTCCTGTGTCATCTTCTTGATCTCCCACGTTTCTTTTTCTTTTTTTAAAATTTGCTTCTCTTTTTTTCCTCCCCTCATTTCAATGGAGCACATTTTTCAAATAACTTTTTAGAAAGGTCACACTAAAGAGGTATTTTCTATTTTCTTTTCAGTCTTTCTCTTGCATTCAATTAATGTTTTACCTGGCTGTAAAATTTGGGATTGCAATAATTTATTTAAAAATATCATTTTCTTCAGAATTTAAAAGACTTTACCCTGTTGAATTCTA